AACCTAAATGATTCTATGATTCTAAAGGAGATAAATGCAGTATCCAGAATTTGTTGCTTGCGTGTGAGGAAAAGATGGTTGTTTTGATAATATGAAGGACAAATTGGAAAAGCTGTAAATGATGCATTTTGTTTTGTTTCTTTAAGGGGAGGTGGTTTAGAAAGCAGGCTGGCCATCTGTGTGTGAAAGAGTATTTAGGTCAGTGGGTCTGTTCTGTCCTGCTCTGTTCTAGGATGAAAGGATCTGTTGTGCTGAAGGCATTCTAGTCTTTCATTCATTTAGGTTTCTGTTTAGTAAGCACTCTTTCTTGAATAATCATGAAGTATAATCATACTTCAGTAACTTAATCTAGTAGTTATAGGCTCTGACCTAAGTGGATTAAAACTGCTCTTTATAAATAAAGAATTAATTTGGAATTGTTGGGGGCTTTTTGTTTGTTTTATAATTGCTCAAATTTATAGTGGAAATATAAAATGAGAATATTGTGAAGTGATGATTAATGATAAAAATATTTCAAACATCTACCCTTTGTGCCCTTATGGTATTTATAACGTCATTTCTTTTAAGCTTTTTAAAAGATCCCGAATTTGTATATGTTGTGTGTTTGAAAGAATCAAATTTTCTTTCTGTTGCAGAAAATTTGCGCAGTCTGTTACTTATTTGTGAAGTATTAATTGATTCTTTGAGTTTCTACCTCTTTTTTTTGAACTTCCTGCATGACTTAATGAGTTCAAGAGCTTTCTAAAATAAAATGGGGGCTGACTCTGTAGTCTGACTTGTTAGAGAGGATTAATGGAAGACCAGACAAGCTGTTGTTCAAGTACTAGCCTATTTTCATTTAACTCTCCAGAATTATATTCCAACAGAAAATTACAACCTGGAAGGTAAATTTCCTGGAGTAAGATGTGCTTACACCTAAGAGCAGTTGGACTCCATGGTCTTACAGGTCTTTTCCAACCTAAATGATTCTAAGAGAAGACCATGCACTGTGTATCATTGTTTTTATGTATAATTTACAGACAGCACTGATGGAAAAAAAAAAAAAAAAAGCCCACAATAAAGTATCCAGTTTTTCTTTCTGCTGGATTTTGAAAGTACTCATCTTGGGTTTTGCCTCCGGCTAAAAGTAGGAGATACTTGCTTCACTAAAAGGACAGATAATGGAAGGAAAGAGGACATTTAGTTTATTCTTTATAATTTCTAGGTGTTTCACATAGGATACTTTCCTTGCTATCACATGAAGCCTAAAGGAGTGCCTGCTCACATTTGCTGAAACACAGTTAATTCTGATTCTTTACATCAGCTAGGTGATTCTTTGTGATAGCTTTGCATTCAAGTAGAAACGTGTAATAGCGCTTGGATTCCTTGAGACTGTTTTCCTTTCCATGTAGGTCACTAGGGTTGTTTTGGCTTGTGAACTCGTGTCCCTTCCAGAAACAAAGCAATTTTCCTTGAGAAGAGAATTTTGAAGGGAACTTTGAGTTAAAACTTGAGAATTTTTCAAGAGTCTGCAGACTTACATGACTGATGTTATGAAAGATTGTAGATTTTATGTCAGGAGCAGAGTTATGGTAAACTTTCATTTTTTGGATGTCCATCTTGTTTAAAAACCATAGTTCACTGTCTATTTTTTAAGTTCAGTTTAATGTTAGTCATAGCGTTTTGATCTAACTATTGCCACATCTCATGATTTTGCCGCAGGATGTTTGAAGTGCTGTGGGATTTAAGTGTAGCCTGCTAAGATTGTGTAAGGAGGAGAACATGTATTTTATGTTTCATTGGTGTGTTGATTTGGTTGATGGGAATCATTATAGGACTGTAGAAAGACAAAATACTCTTTTCTGCCCTAAGGTTGTAGCAGTGCAACCTTTATGGTTTTTATCAGAAGCAAACAGAAGCCACTCATAGACAATTTTTCTTTCCACATGAAAATCAGAGTGGATACACAGTGATACAGCTCTTACTGGACACTGAGGGTTTTTTTTTGCATTCACAGATAATTTCTCATTAGATGGAAGCCCATGCATTGCTCCTGGAGTCCCCAGCCTCATGAATCCCATAGCTAAGCCAGCTACCACCCCTTCTTTCAATGCTGCTGCGACAGAGGTTCCAAGGAAGCGCAAAGGAAGTGATTCTGATAACCAGTAAGTAAATGAATTCTGGACGTGTCTCAACAGATTTGAGACATGCATCTGTTATTTATGCAACATGGTAATTGCCTAATCCTCTTTATTTATTAAAATTATTTACTACATTTTTTTTCCAAATGCATTCATTGATAGTCCTGAGTTAAGAAGAGAAAAAATAATCCTTAAATCAAAGGGATATATATGGATTTCCATTTCCTGGCCTGAAGTGCCAGGATAATGTGTCTCTAACCTGACATTTTAATCCTAATCTTTTGGGTTTTTTTCCCCTTTACCTATTCTCTTTGCAACACATTGTTTTTAAGTTATTCAGTTGCTTCAAGTCTCACAAGTGCGCACTGAGTATCACCTTAAAGGGTGAAACCAGATTACTAGTTAAGCTCTTTGATCTGGAACTGCAGAATCAGAACTGCTTCTTCAATGACCAGGGCAGCCATTTACTTAGATGTCCTGGCAGACCTGTGACCTAAAAATGAGGATTGTCCTACAGTAGTACTCAGTCTTTTTAAGTGGGTCATATGTGACTACTGTTGACTGTTTTCTCTTGTTTTATAACTGCCAAACAGATGCCAGTTAACCACATAATCGTTTACATAGAAAAATATTTTTTTAAGTGATCTATTCCAAGCTATATGTATCAGCCAGAAGTAAGGGACATGTCAGCCTGAAGATTTAGTGCATTACAAGTATATCCGAAGTAGTGTGGAAAATCTGTTTAAAAAAGGAGGGGAGGTAGGAAATTTACATGTGTTTGTGATTATTAAAGCAGTTCTCTTTAGTCACTGCTTCTTCCATATGTAGACCATTGATCTGCAGAATGTTACCATACTATGTATGTTGATATAACTGTCAACTTGGAGATGCAAGTGTACCTTCTAGATCATTGAAATTCTATAATTTTTTTTTTTTCATGAAAAAAAAAATTGTCTCCATACTTTTTCAGTAGCACTTGTTGATTTTTACCTGTTCAGTAAAAGTGCTGTTTCCTCAGTAGTGCTTCCCTGAGGTTTGGATCTCTCTCTGATTTAATTAAACTTCTGTCAAAAAAACCCATTAATGTCTAAGTTGAAACACTAACAGAAACAGTATTGTTTAACAAGAACTAGATTCTCAAGAATTAGTTTCTAAAATCTAATGTTCTTGCTGAAAATAACTAATTAATTAAATTCTTGTGGCTTTTTTACGTCGGGTATATTAAGTCATCTTTGTGTGCTTCAAACTACATTTTGCTTACTTTATTACCTGTTTCTGCAGGGATACAGCTGAAGTTGATGGTGATCCTCAGAAAAGGTACTTTATAAATGAATTTGTTTCTGTTTTCAGTGCTATAAACATGTCCCATTTTCCTGTTTCCTAGATGAGCTGTGTGGTTTGCCTTAAGGAGTGCTTTGTCTAAGGGCAGGTTTTCTGTACAGCATAAGGTGATAAACATATAGGTAATTAATAGGATGGATAGGTCGAGTCAATATTAAGGATTTCTGGTATTTCTTTCTAAGAAGACACTCTGTCTTGCTTACAGCTTTATCAGACATGTTAATACTGAGGCCAAGGTAAGAATCAGAACAAAAAGTAACAGTTAAATAAGAAGACTAGGGAGGTGAAGGAAAGGTCTCATACTCTTCTGGGACTGGTGCATATAAACTTTTGTTTGTTTGTTTTAACCTTGTCAAGTGCTTTTTAAAATAGAACTACCACAACTATGTTAAAATAATGGTATTACAAGGTGACAAACCAGAGTTAAGATTGGCTGTGCAGCAGAAGAAAACCCTTTGTGCATATATGTTATGGGATAGTTATTAACTGTATGATTACCTTGTTGTGATTTGTTTTTCTGCACTTAGATACCTTGCTTAGAAAAGTTTGTGTAGCTGTGCAGTATTCTTCTTTTATAAAATAGAATAGAATATTTCAGTTGGAAGGGACCTGCAGTAATCATCTAATCTAGCTGCCTGACCACTTCAAGTTACGGCATGCTGGTGAGGGCATTGTCCAAATGCCACCTAAGCATGGACAAGATTGGGGCATCAACCACCTCTCTAAGAAGCCTGTTCCAGCATTTAACCACCCTCTGGTAAAATAAATGCTTCCTAATGTCCAGTCTAAACTGCCCCTGGTGCAGCTCTGAACCATTCCCATGCAGCCTATCACTGGATACCAAGGAGAAGAGATCAGCACCTCCCTCCTTCTCCACTTCCCCTCCTCAGGAAGCTGCAGAGAGCAATGGGGTCACCCCTCAGCCTCATCTTCTCCACATAGAGTCCTTTGCCACTTCTCACAGGACATACCTTCCAGCCTAGCTTTGTTGCCCTCCTCTGTGTCCCTTCAAGGACCTCCATGTCCTTCTTAAATTGTGGGGTCTAGAACTGCACACAGTACTCAAAGGGAAGCTGCATCAGTGCTGAATACAGTGGGATGATCACCTCTTTTGACTGCGTACTTATGCTGTGTTTGATGCACCTCAGGATGCAATTTGTCATCTTGGCTGTCAGGGCACACTGTTGACAGCCTCAGATCCCTTTCTGCAGGGTAGTCGATGTTTGGTATATGGCTTATTGAGTAGTATAAAAATTCCTTCTTTGGGAAAAAAATTGTTTCTTTGTGGATTTTTTTTCCACAGTGTGCATGATGGAAAAGACTGAATAAAAATACTCTTCTGTTTTTAAAATGTTTCTATATTTTAGGAGAAATGGTGAAGTATGCTTAGTAGATCAGTTGAGAAAGTACAGAAAAAGGTGGTGTTCATTATTTTTTTTGATTAATACAGATTCTGTTCTTCCAAGTACCAATTAAGTATACCTACATTATAGCCATGAGGAAGAATTTGGTCCTATGTTCATGTATTCAAGGTAGCTACTTATATCCATAACAACACAGCTGTTAGGACACAGGCTATATAAATCCATTGAAGTCTGCGACTGATTGCTTGAGCAGCAAATTTGCTCTAGTTTGTTCTAGCTCCCAGAGGAGCTCCTGAGAGAGAGTTAGTTAAAAGGCCACATGCTGTGTTGCAGTTGGTCTGTCTTCCCTTTACCTCTTCTCCTCTTGCAGGCAGGCAATGTAATTTCTGTTGGAGTGCATAGTATATGGACAATTCTGGTAAATATTTCTTCTAAACAAAAAATACTCATTATTGCTAACTCATCTAAATCTGAAACAGTTTCACTGAAGAAAAGTCCTAGGGTCTTGTGAGCCCAACCTACTGCTGCTTTTAGGTTTATCAGACTGTCCAGAAGATTCCTGGGTTCCATTGAAATCCCAGGTTGAAGAGTTGGATCTCTGAACCTTGTGTTAATTTTGGTTCTGGCTGTTGGATCTTCACCAGGGCCAGTGCTCAGCCACAGATAGAACCTGCTTTTGGGATCTTTCCTAAAGCTGTAATCTCCAACTGTCCTTCTACTTCCTACATCTGTTTCCTCATGGGAAACAGCTGCTGACTGATTGCACTGTCTCTTTATAATCTTTTTGCCACTTCTAAAATGGGCATAGGCTAGCAGGTCTGTCCTCTGGAGTGGAGTGTACAGTACTGCACGAGATGCTTCCACCCTGAATGAAAAAAACCCAAAGAACTACTGCAGAAAGATTAAAAGTATTTGTAGCAGCTTTTCTTTTAAAGAAAATAGTAGACAGTATTTGTATGGGAACTGCCTCTCTGCCGTTACCAAACCACTCATACTGAATTGGCAAGATAACTATTAAGCCATGTTCTGAAATTTTTAATACATGGTGATGAAGAGTACAGTAATTTTAGGGAAGAAGATCATTGCCCTTGTTGAAGTCATCCTTTATCCTGCTGCCGAATATTTATTGTGACACAGTCACAATGATTCTTTCATTTACAATTTTACTACATAGACTTTCCAGTCATTACTGTATGGTATGGGAAGATACTTGCTTTTTTTTTCTTTTTCTGACCACAAGCAATTAAAGTATAATTTAGGTCAAGTATTAAAGTCTATTTTAGGGTTGTTTTTTTCACCATTTGACAAGATTTTGGCAGTAAAAACATCAATAGGTCTCTCTTGTAAAATTTTAAACAATAAAAATTAAATCAAGCCTGGACTTAAGTTATTTGGATGTTTCAGCAATGTTATTTCCTCCAGGATAAAATAGCCCCATAATTATGAAATATCCGCATAATATGTTCACATAACTGAATAGTGGAAGTTATACTTTGGTGTCTTTCTATTACACATCACTTGCTAGATCATTTTTTCTTTTAGGAGGTTTTGTGGGTTTGCTTTTGTTAGGGCCATAGTAAATTTGTAGCATTTTCTATATCTTCTTGAATTCATGAGAGGAAAGAAGTGCCTGGTACTAAATATGCAATGTAAAACTCTGTATCTTGTTTTCTCTAGGAGTGAAGATGAAGAACATGTTAAAATAAAAGATTTCAGGTACAAATTTACAATAAAGGCACATTTTGGTAGTAAATACTAGGGTTCACAACAGTAAAATAGGAGTTTGTGGGTAACATTTATTAAAACTCAAATATTTAACAGTAAAACTTTTAGATCCTGTGTAAAGTTTTTATTTTCTACTAATTTTAATGAAAGTTGTGTTGCAGAATATCTTAGACAGTTTAGCAAAAATCTGAGGTTAAAATTTTCAAGGTGAGAATTGAGTACAGTATACTCAAGTTAAGGGAGGAGCTGATCCTCAGTCTGTATAAATATGAAAATTTTTTTTTCCAGATGAGTCTACGCTTGGAGGTATTTAAAATTTATTCCACATGAAAATGGATTCAGTTAAAGCATGACAGAGAATTCTTGTTCTGGAACAAATTTCTATATAGGGAATTATTCAAGGTTTGCTGTTGCACTTGGAATTCACATCTTACCTGAATCCAAATTGAAATTCATGTAGAGAACTTGTAAGATTTGAAACTGTCTGACTGAATGAAGGCATGATTCATCCAAAGAAATATTTTAAACTATAGACAAGCCACTTAGTAAAACTAGAGCTGTTTTTTATAAACTTGTTTTAAAAACTAAAGCTCCTCTCATTTGTCATGTGAGCAGAGATGTCAAAGCAGAAATATATAACTCACTCTGCTGTCAAAAGCGTTATTTTACACAGTATGCTAACTAATAGTTATGAAGTGTTCCTGTAATTTAAAGAAAATGGAAGAAATGGAAGTGTTCCAGAATATATTTACAGGATTTTTTTTTGTTGTTTAACTCTAAAATTCATTATTCAGTATCCCAGATTGCTATACAAGATTCTGGTTTGTATGTTGCTTTAATAACTTCCATGTTGCATTGTTAATTTTTTTTCCTTAAGTTTTGGTTCGTTAGCTGGATGGGAAAAAATGATGGTTTGCCTAGCAGTTATCTCCCTGCAGTGTTTCTTTTCTCAAGCTTATTGGGGAACTTGCTTTTTTCCCTTCCCCTTTTTAACTGGGGAAGGCAACAGAAGGCTTTTTCAATCGTCCAGTCATCACCTGAGTTTCTGAAACCACCTGTTCAGGTTTATAGAGCTTCTTATTGACTCCTAGAAATGTGGAAGATTGTTCTCTTCCCCTAAATATGTTTCAATCTTCCTGAGGTTCACAGCCCAAGGATTATACACAATATATTGCTTGATTGTCCTTACCTAACACAAAGGAAAAGTTGGGTGAACCTGTAGAGCTAAGAATAACTGTTAAAATAAATTTTTTTTTAAAAAGCTTTAGAAAGAGAAAAGCTGATTGCTTGGATGAATGACCCAGAATTATTTTGTGGAGAAGTAGTTTATTTTAGGGAAAAATAATAAAAGATTAGGTCTTTAAAACTGTACTTTATTCTTTCTTAACAGGCCAGGCATAGTTAACTTTATTATCTTTAATATCTTCTGTAACAGTATGCCTAATAGGAAGACTTTTGGAGTGTTGCCCCTCAGTTTGGTTAACTATCACTGCATCTGGTCTCAATCAGAAAGGAAAATAATCCTTGTTTTAACTGAGTGGCAAGCTTGTCTGGTAGGTAAGGAGGGAATAGAATGAGATAATAGTTTCTTGTTCTGCTAGAGGATGTTTGAGGGGGAGACCAGCTGAAAAAGCTAACATACTCCACTAGAAAGAGTTAAAGAAAAGATGACCTGAGATATAAATATATTTGCCATGTACACTGTCATGTGTGTTGTAAGGGGGTTTTCTGATTAAAACTATCCAAGAAGTGAAGCCCTTTTCCTGTAGTTGAGTTCTTGGACAGAGGCTTGCCAGGAGATGAAACCTGAGACGCAGGGTATGCACACAGGCTAATACCCTTTCTCCCACCACATCAGGTGAATGAAGGAGAAAGCTTTCTGAAATACTCGTGAAACTACATGAGCCATAGCTTTTTCTTTCAGTTTCCACTACATTTCTTATAAGCACTTATAAATGTATTTTCTGTTCCTTCTGCTGTGCTCTGAGTAAATTCTTGCGTTTGTGTCTGTCTTCAATCTGAGTAATTTTTAAAGTAGTAAGAAGATGATGTTGCTCATCTCAGGTTGTTGTGAGTTTGCATAAAACAGAGTTCAGATGTGCTTTAGAAAGTGCTTGGAGCATTCTTTTTTTTGTTGTTTTTAAGTTTAAAAAAAAAAAAAAAAAGGGCAGAATGAACACCCTGTTCATTCTAGACGGGCCAGGTAGAATCATAGAATTGTATAGCAGAGATTAGGCCAGGGACCGGAGATGTCTTCCAGTGATTGCTAATGACATCAAAAGTTCTCTGTTATACAGGAAGATGTCAGAGTATCCACTTGGATGTCAAGGGATGCAAGAAGAATTTAACTTCTACAGTGCTTCACAGCCTTTTGTTCTTGCCACATATATTCGAGTTGTTGCTTGAGATATTTTTCCTCTCAGTGTTCCACATAATTATTTTGGCCATTTCTGCTTTGTTCAAGTGAATCCAATTCAGTTGTTAAGTAGAATTAGTGTATGAAAAACTGTTTCAGTGCAGTAGTACTTCTTGTGAATACATTCCATTCCCCAAACTGAACTGATTAATATTATGAGGAAAATCATGTGTTCTGCATCTTTCTTAAAATAATTTTTCTTCTTAGAGAGGCTCACAGTCAAACAGAGAAACGAAGAAGAGACAAAATGAATAATTTGATTGAGGAGCTGTCTGCTATGATACCTCAGTGCAATCCCATGGCACGGAAGCTGGACAAGCTTACAGTGTTACGGATGGCTGTACAGCACTTAAAATCTTTAAAAGGTGAGTTTTTAGGAAACTAATCCTGAAAGTCCTTGTTCTATCAGAAGTTATGCTGTGTATCTTCTTTGATGTAAAATAAATTACCTTTGGTTTATTTAATGTTTCCTTGCTGAATTGAATTCCAAGTCTGTTCTTCATTTCAGTTTAGATGTTTGTAGATTCCAGAACTTAATTTCTTCTTTTTATGTAGTATAGCAGAAAAAAAAACACCGTCAGTGTCTGATATTTTCTGTTTGGTAAGCAGATGCTTTGCAACTGAGTCACTCCTTCATTCTTTTTAAAAACTACAACAATCAAGCATGTCTGTCATTATTTTCCAGCTCCTAAATTACACATGTTCCATGATGTTTCCACTTTCCACCATATTTTCTGTTACAATAATACCTGTGGTGCTCTGCCAATGCCAACAGCTAGTAAGAGAAGCAAATGGTCCTTGTAGTAGTCATGTTTGTTATTCCCATGTCCGTGATTGCATCACCCCTTTGTCTCTGTATTGGAATTTCATTGGAATTTCTGCTTATTTAGAAATTCACAATGTCGTGGAAAAAGACCATTAAAAAAAAAAAAAAAAAAAAAAAAAAAAAAAACAAAACCCACCCCACTCCAAAAAAAAAAGAAAAAAATGACATTAATATTAAAAGATTAAAAAAAAAGTCTTTTCAACAATGGAAAGCTACTCTAATACTTACTTAAAGAGTCTAATATAAGTTGTTGCACTGGTAGGGACCACAGAGAACTTACTTTAGTGATAGGTTAAGTCTTTTACACTGTAATTTCATAAACTACAAACCAGTTGCATAAATGCAAAGGAAAGATTATATTTGGACTTAATCAACTTTTTTCGCCTGCAAGAGCATTAGTTAAGAGGAATGTTTTAAGACAAATCCTGCTTTAACAGAGTGGTTAATGACTTCGATTACCCGAAAGTCTTAAACACCATGAAATGTTAGAAAGTAAAAGGAAAATGAGTCATCAAAAGTTTGTATCCTCAGCTACTAAAGTTCACATAATGGATCTCAGTGAATGGCTTAATGTTGAGATTAAACCAAGATATATTCTTTCCTCTCCTTTTGCTATTGCTATGTTTGGTTTGGTTTTTTTTTTTCCCATCCCCTAAAAAGATGTCCAAATAAAATTATGTATCATGTGGTCAATCAGCAGCATTGTTTCAAAATAATAATTTGGTCAAAGGTAAGAAAAGATCAGACTGCAATAAACATATTTAATAAGAACCCCATTAGTCTTAAGCCCAAGGAGTGTAGGAAACAAGTTCTACTATTAACTTCACAGTAATAGAATCCTAGAATAATTTAGGTTGGAAGCATTTTCTGGAAGCCCCTTGGCCGGAGCAGGCTGGGAATTTTGCATAAAGAAATAATGTGACAAGTTAGCAGGCAAGTAATTGCACTTGCGGTTTAAACAAGTATCTACAAGATATCTTTAGCTCGTGTGTTTCTGTTTCAACAATGGCATATGAAAACTCAACTCCACCCAGCACGCATACTATATCTTCAAATCAAATGCTTTAAGAAAATACAAGATACTATGTGGAATTATAGTGAATGATGAAATTTTCTGGAAAGTTCAGCTGCTGTTTACTTCAAAAAAATACTTAGAAAAAGTTGTGCAAGTGTTTGTAACAGCTGAAAATTTATAGTTCTAGCTATGGGTGCTAGAACAGTGAATGTAGTGAAGTCAGTCTCACCACATGTAGTGAGATAATTTAACTACGATAGAGTGGGTTTTTTTGATTGTTGGATATATAGTACTAATGAAGCGTTATTCATGCCAAAAGACAATTGATAACATAGGAATTATTCATATTTAGCAAGCGTTGAAGATTCTGAAATAAGCCTGTGGAATGTTTCTAGAAAATTAAATTCTCGTGATACCATTTCTCTAGTAGTATGTTAAAGATATCTGAACAGAACTTTCCTTGTTTTGTGCTAAGCAAAGGGCAAGAAAGATCTAGTTGTGTGCCCATATTCATTACCAGCATATGTTTATGAGATTTTTACATTTTTAATATTTTTTTAGAATTTTTCAATTTTTTTTTTATTTGGCTGTTGTGATTGCAAAGAAAAGTTTATATAACACAAAAGAAGTATAGTTCAATTAAAAGTGAATATAAAATGTAACTTTTGACACTATGTTTACAAATAATCTGTTTTCCAGGTTCCACTAGCACCTATACAGAAGTCCGGTATAAACCTTCATTTTTAAAGGATGATGAGCTCCGACAGTTAATCCTTAGGGTAAGTGGAAGGAAAGTCTCAGTTAAATGATGTCCATAATAAAGCTTGCCATTAACTTGAGGTTTTAGAGTGCTTTTTTTACCCATATTTTTCTTCAAGCAGGTGCTTTGATGTACTTGATAAGTAGTGGTTTATGAACTCTGTACACTATACAGGCTTTTTTATAAAGGCGTACAGATGATTTGTGAGCATGGCAGACAGCAGTTCTTGAAGGGACAATAAATATGTATATAATCTGTGCGTTTAGTACCTTTTTTTATATTGAAGTCTGCATGAAAGTATAATGAAGGCTTTTAATTATGCATAAATATACTTGCAGTTATTTGCTCTCCTTCATTTATATTTTTAAAGAGGTACTTTGAAAAAGACGCAGAAATAATATCTGAAAGAAAATCTTTGTGTTTTCACAGTTCATCATATACACACGCCCCTTTACTCTTTCTTATTTGCAACTGTTTTCCTTTGCTACAATAGCAGACTTAGCCAAGATCTGTAAGATGAATCCCGAGTTAAGTTTTTTTTCAGCTGGCCTCCTCTTTTCCCAAAGCTGTGTTTCAGAAACTTTAGCGGTCTGTAGCTGAAGGTCTGATTTGGTCCTTGCAATCTTCATTACTTTTTGGTGTGATTTATAACTAACTTAATTTTGAAAATCTTGTTTAAAAGTGTGCTTTCTTGCAGTCATCAATATTCATAGTATATTTTAATGATATGTTTTTAAAACAGTATCTTTGCATTTTCAGGCTGCAGATGGATTCCTGTTTGTGGTTGGATGCAACAGAGGGAAAATTTTGTTTGTCTCAGAATCAGTTTGCAAAATACTTAATTATGATCAGGTGGTTATAACTGGGTTTCTTGCTTTGCTTTTACCCTGCATTTTCTTACAAAGTTTTAAACTTTTAAATTTTATTGTATATTACTAAAAAAATAGGCCTTGTGTATAATTTCTTGGAATTTCTTTTAGAGAAAAGCTGAATATCCTGGAACAAAATATTTGCCAAGTACAGTCAGTGTTCCTGACCCAAGTAATAGCACCAGGTTTCAATTTATTATCCTTAAGAAAACAGCTATTCTGAGAGGAAGGGATAATTTGAAGATGTCCCAATATCTATTTCCAAGAGATTTTTCTTTTAAATTAAGTGATCTGTTGGTTTTTTGTTTTTGTTTTTTTAGGCCAAGGAAAATTGGTATTTCAGCAGTAGAAGTTAAAGCTTTCCGTGGTAATGCCTTTATGCTCAGATGCACTATGTAGCACCATATCCACAATAACTATCCATGTATATACTTGAAGGAAGCTGAGATGGTGTGAGTTAGCTGAGCCTGTAGAATAAGATAAATAGGGGAAACTTTCCATTAGTTGACATTTAATGTCATGGATAATTACCACAAGTAATCAAGGCATGATAACTTGTATCATGTATCTATGACTTGTATTCTAAAAACAGGCTAAAACAATTAGTGCTTCCATCTGTGTACTTCTCTAACTTTGAAACCATTTGTGCTATGTTCATTTTTTTCATAAAGAGAAGGGTAACCAATCTGGACTCTTTTATATATTTTTAATTAAAAAATACAAATTATATATTTTTTAATTAAAGTTAAATTAAACATCTTATTGGAACAAGCACAAAGCAGATTTTAATTTTTTTTTTTTTTTAAATCTATAATAAATTTATTCAAGGACTAAAAAGTGCCTTTGGAGACTCTCAGATCAGTCATACGTACTTCCATACCCATAAGAACTTTGCTATTCGAGCCAAAAAGGTACAGAGAACATGACTGACTTAACCCATGAAATTATTAGCTTATTTGGGAATCATTCTAGGTTATGAATCCCATCCCGCAGCCTGATTTCTTTGTTACGCCTATATATTTTTACAAGGCTGCTGTTAGCCTTTGTTAGTGGCACTTACAATTTTCCCTTTGCATTAGGGTTAGATGGGCACTGGACAAATGAAAGAGGCTGAATATTTATCCTGCTTTCTTAGAAGCTTTTCATTAAACCTATTTCTGACTCTGGCTTTTTGGAAAAGTGCTGCCCTTTATGTCATGTGTCCAAAATGAGTTGCAATTTGAATCTAGAATACTGCTTGTCAACACAGCTCCTTTCTACCCGTTGATGTGATCTGCTGTGGTGAAGGTAAGCAATGAGAAAAGCAAAATGAGCCCGCTTCGGTGAGAATTCTTTCCTGTTTCAAAAAGGAGGTAGTGCTGCCTATGGTAGTGCAGCAGACCAGTTACTTTGTATCAGCAAAGCCAGCAGGTTGGATGGATCCCAGCTAGCGAGATTCCTGTAAATATCCCCTATGAAGGAGTGCTGAAGTGTGCTGACCTCTGCTTCCAGGCAGCTTCTGGCTCAGTGGTCCCATTTTATACAACCAAAGTAGAGCTCAGAGTCATTTGGTAGCATGAATATTTCTCCCTATTTCCTCACCTTCTCTGCACCCCATGTGAAATAATCTGTGCGTGGAGTTACTTTGTGCATAAAGTTCTTAGCTAGGATCAGGAATCACGTTATGTGCATAAATAAAACATTTTTATGGAACTGTTGTTTAATATCCAACTAAATCTGCTGTTTTTCAAAGGGGAAGTAACAAATTATGGGTTTACTACCCTGTTTTTATAAAAATCAATATTAATTAATGGCAAATTAAATGTGAACCAAAATTATCAATGTTTAGAGTAACTGTGATACTTCTAATGGTGTAGAAAGTTGTTTTTCTGAGATAAGTAGTATGTGTGGAGTCCTGTTCTAAAACAATGAGGTTCTTATTTCTTTTGGTTTTTGATGTGTGTTTGTTTTTTTTTAAATAGGCCAGTTTAATTGGACAAAGCTTGTTCGATTACTTGCATCCAAAAGACGTTGCAAAAGTTAAGGAGCAACTTTCTTCTTCAGATGTCTCTCCTAGGGAGAAACTTGTAGATGGGAAAAGTAAGTCACATTTGAATGTGCTCATATTTTTTTAAGGAGATGTTTAATAAACCTAGATATTAGGCAGGACTTAGTGATGTGTTCTTATGTGCTGATGTATGAACTTGAGGTATAATTTCTATGAACTAAACACATTTGCGTGCTTATCTGCTGCTTAGAATGCACTTACAGTTAAAAAGCTAGCCCAGAAAAAGAATTTGTTTCAGAAGATTATTGCTGAAATTTGCATTGTTAAACTTTTACCATAATGAGGTCTGACCTTCTTCCTACCAGGCATACTACTTTTTTTTCTTGTATTTGATAGGTCTTGTCAATACAAAAGACCTGATGTAGTCGAACATGGGATAAAATACTTCAATATCAAGAATCACTGTCTTCTCTGAAAATGCTAAGTGTCAATCCTAATTTAACCAAATTTTACTCCGTTTACAGTTATTTCTGATATGGAAAGTATTATGTACTGTGCAGCTAATGACTACTTTATAGCTGACTTCTATAAGTATCTTTGCAGTTTTTCCTTGTACCAAATAGAAGCTGAAAGTTTATAAAGCATATTTATTAAAATACTATTCAAAATATCAAGAAGAGTTTAAAAACAGCTTGGTAGTTATTGTTAATGTTGGAATCTGTTTGTCAGTCACATTCTCTTTGCCCTATTTAAGTTATTAGACTTTTTTTGTTTTTAATTGTAAGGACAAAGTTTAGGCAACTAAACAGTAAGGAGAATGTGCTGGAAGCTAAAATGAAGGAAAGGCCATGTATTCTAAAGGTTTATTGTTGGGTTTCGTTTTTTTAACTATTTTACTAAATTTTTGTAAGCTGGCTTGCAAGTACACACAGATTTCCAAGCTGGACCAGCTCGACTGAATTCTGGTGCTCGACGTTCCTTCTTCTGTCGGATAAAATGTAGTAGGACCGCAGTCAAAGAAGAAAAGGAGTGCTTGCCCAACCCAAAGAAGAAAGGTATTCAAATTGTGTAGATGAAGTGGGAGCTTTCTGTCTTGGAACTTGTCACACTACTGGCTCAGAACTTAAATATAACACTTGTAGTTGATTTTGACTTCACAAAGTAGCTGTAGAGAATTGTGAATGTGTACTGGAGAGAGGTTTTGCAAAACTGTCTAATCGTACTCTTTCTCTTTCCTGTTCACTCCTGGAAAAGCGGGGTGGAAGAATCTGAGTTGCAGTGACTGTTTAGGAGCATGTGGTTTGTTGTAGTCGAATTTTAGAAGTCTCAGTAAAGTTTTTGAAAGCACTGGAGCAGATCAGAAGAATGAAACTAAATAACTATGTGAATAAGGGCTGCAAAATCTACTGTTTTGAAGAGGGAAAAAAAACTTGTTTTTTTTGATTTACTTTTTGTGCTGTGTGTACTTAAAAGTATGAATTTTTGGTTTTTTTTTTCTTTTAACAGTCAAGTTAATTTATCAGTGTAATTCCACTCATTTTCGCAATAATTTTAATTTATTTCATAGTTCAGTATCCCTATACAGCAGTACACTCTTGTCAAGTTTTCAATGAATGGTTCTTTTTTAAATGCAATTTCCAGCTTTTGTTTAAAGTCTTATTACTGATTTTTGCAAAAGTGTGCTGAAATTGTTTGACCCTGAAAAAATCCTTCTACTTTGTTTTTTGAATGTAACCTGTTACTACTGAGTAATACTATACAGTAGTAAATTTTATTATAGGTCTGTAATTGTAAGTAAGCAGAATTCAGTCTCCCTTGATATGCCAACTAATAAGGTGAGATAAGAACTTAACTATAAATGTTTCTCAGGAAAGCATCTTGATCATTTGAGAAACTGTGACAGTGTCACAGAGTAAGTTAACTCATTTTTTTATTTTACAGAGCTGATATGTTTTCTTTAGTTGATATGAAATTATGTAAAGCATAATTTGTTCAGAATACAGATATCAGGATTACTTTAGCAGTTTTTGAAAGATGGTTACTGTAGAACGCACAATGTCATCTCTATGCCTTGATGAGTGGAAGGAAGTTTGCATATTATTCAGGCAGCAAAGAGTCTAACAGCCATAGGAATGAATAACAGTCTGTGTGGTAATCTAAGACACTTAAAACATTTGTGCTTCCAGAAAATGAGAAATTCAGAAGCCTAAGAAAATAAGCTGGGTTGTTGGGTTGTTCTCGCCACTGATTCTTTTAGCAATTGCAGTGAGTATATGTTACAGTCATCATGTTCACAAAAGGTTAATTGATTTGGAAGCTACAGAGCGCCAATGCAGTTTATTTTAATTTACAATATATATGAAACCATGCTAAAAGAAGGTGATCTGTTGGTTACCAGACTCTTAGATTTTGGTGCGGTGTTGGGTTTTGTTTTGTTTGGTGGTTT